ACTGAGAGGTCTGTTGTCGTTTATTACTAGGCCTCCACACACACACACACACACACACACACACACACACACACACACACACACACACACACACATGCGCGCACATGCACGCACTCGAACACGAACATGTATACATAACGTGGAGAGAAAAGTTGGTAATTGGGACCGCGGTGATGGTTGGTCCAGCGTGGAGAAATGCTATGATTGAGATTATTTCTTTTCCGTACTGTTTTTGCGTATTCTTTTTTTTCTTTTTTTCATTAGTCCTGTTGGGAAAGGGACGAGCAGGCAATCGAGGTGGTGTGCGTACGCCTCTCGTGTCCCTTGAGTAATGCGAGTAAGAACTCCTGCCGCAACCCCCCCCCCTCCCCACCGCCGCGGGCTGAGCCCCTGGATTATTCCATCAGTGCGCCCCCGCGTATTGTCTATTTTTCCCCTTCTCAGCAGCAGAGAAGGGAGAGAGCGCGTGGGTGACAGGCCAAAGACAGACAGACAGACAGACAGACAGACAGACAGACTATGGCGCGGGGCGCACCTGGAGCCGCTGCGATGGAGCCGTGTGTGTGAGATGAGGGGATCAGACTCGTGTCGAGTAATGAGGCCTGGAGGAACCCCGAGCCTGCTGCGGTGGCTTATCGGCACCTGCTTAGAAGGTGTACGTAGACAATGATTATTTTGCAGGCAAAGTAAAGAGAGACTTTCCTCCTGGCTCAAAGCGGGCGGCCGTCCCTCCCTCCTTTACAATGTAAACACCCACACCAAAAAAAAAAATTACAAGCCTTGTTTTAAAGTTTCTACTTTTTAAAAAAATGTCATCATTAACACGTTGGTAATTTGTTTTAACGACTCGTCCCTTTGTAATTTTTTTATGCGGGTGTAGTGCAGCCGTGCGCTGCGAGATAGCGCGGCAGGCAAGAGATCTTCCTTCGGGTTGGAGATGATTAGGTGTAGGAGGGGGGACTCGGGGCAACTTTTCGGCTGGAGTGAGGTGTCTTGGGGGAGCGAGATTTTTTTTCACCCCCTCCCCTCTTCCTCTCCTTCTCTCTCGCGTCTACTCGGTTCTCTATCTTCTCTCTCGCTCGCTTGCTCGCTCACGCCCTATTTCCCCTTCACCCTCCCCCCCTCTCTGGCTGGCAACAGATGAAACAAGCGAAACTTGCGACTACAACGGAGTAACACTGAAGAATTGTTTTTCTTGGGGTGCGCAGTGTAGATTAAGGCCCGGGTCAGGACTTGATCAGGCCCAGCCCTGCCTTCGCCCGCCCGCTCGCTTTGTCGGATGCGTTTGGCGATGGCGTCGTCGTCGTCGTCGTCGTCTTCTTGTCGACGAGCAATTTTCGCGCAGTCCTTGGCAGGTCCTGCGCCGTTCTGCTCGGCTGGAAAACAAAAGGACTGTATCAAGCAGCGGAGCGCGCGCGCCTGCGCACCAGCTATTTTTTTTTCCAGCGGGTGGCGGAAGGAGGGGTAGGGTAGGGAGGGGAGCGGTGGTGGTGGTTGTTCTTTTTTGTTCTTATTGTTTCCTTATTCACTGAGACGTGTTCGAAGGTTCAAGGACGCCGCCGCCGAGTTTGGTGCGGACAATAATCAGTCGAGGCGCGAAGCGCTGTGTACGGTGTGCTCCAGATTGGCTGAGCCGAGGACGGTGTGCTGAGGTGGCGCGGGGAGGGGAGGAGGAGAGGAAGGTGAAGGAGGAGGAGGAGGAGGGGGAGGAGGGG